CTCATATTCCATTTCAACAACAATCTATTTTTCTCCTGTCTTTCTCTCCTCCGTCCTGAAACCCCCCCCCCCCTCCTCATTGGAAATATATGCAGCCGGTAACGAGAACAGAAAAAAGAACCCCACCAAAAAAAATGAGAAAAGGAAAAAAAATAAGGGAGACAGAGGAAATCGTATAATGAAAGAACTATCATATGCCGTTGTGAGGATCAAAGAACACCTCGGGGATTTGGATAAATGCTTTATACTCGTCATGTGACGAGTGACGAGCAGAGAAAAGATAAGATTTTTTTTTTGAGCGCTTCGACAAGACTCCAAATGATCTTGTCGGGTGGGCTTGACAAAAGAAACCGTTGTAGAGGACGCTCGAGCGTAGCGAGGATAATAAAAGGAGACGGGTATTAGCCGATCAAGGTCTTCTAGACCTTGGCGATGTGACGATTCCTGACAAGAAAAGGACTGGGCATCTCATCCTTCTCGGGATCCCACGTGGCAACAGCTTCGAGGGTGCTGCTGATGCTGCTGATGCCGCTTCCGCTGCCGCTGCCGGAACTCCCCCCGCTGGAGATGCTCACGCGACGCTCGCTGGCAGCGCGACGCTTGGGGCTGGCATTCTTGGAGCTGGAGGTGCTGCTGGTGTTGTTCTCGGAGCCCGAGGTCGGGGCCGACGATGCCGCCGTGATGGGTCGGCCGCCGGCGCGGGCCTGCTGGAGTTCGACGAGGGTCCGGCCCTTGATGTTGTTCTTGACGGCCACCTTGCCGAGGGCCTCGCTGCCGTCCTTGTCGCTCGCACCTGCACCGGCAACCCCCCTCTTGCGTGCCTCGCCGGCGAGGTTGGCGGCCGATGGGATCTTGCTGAGACGGCGGGGCGGGGATCGGTCCGATGGGGCGGCGCCCAGCCCGACCTTGGATACCAGACCGCCCGCCTTGGACTTGAGACCGCCGGTGGTGGTGGTGCTGCCGATGCTGCTGATGCTGCTGCTGGTGGCGGCGGTGCTTCCCGTGCTGCTGCCCGTGCTGCTGGTGGGGCTGGTGTTGAGCAGGTTGAGCTGGCTGACCGGGCATGACTTCTGCGACGTGAGGACCGGGCGGGACTTTGACGTGAAGGGGTTCTTGCTCGACTTGATGTGCCGCGTGGGCGAGGGGACGATGTCCTCCTCGTCCGACTCGTCGAGCGTCGGCTCGCGATCCATCGACCACTCGGGGTCCTCGGAGCCGTGGTTGATGGGAAAGATGTTGCCCTCGGGCCTCGAGAGCACCTTGGTGGCGTCGGCGCGCCGGGGAGACAGCGACAGCGACGCGAGCGCGATGGGGCTGGGCGACGCCATCTCGATGTCCATCGGGGTGCCGGCTACGCCCGCAAACATGGTCTGCGCACGGCCGAACGGTGTCCGCACCGCCTTACGCGGCTCCCTAGCCTCGCGGCTCGTGTCAGGACTCTCGAGCGAGTACTGCGTGAAGTTGGTCGCGGAGCCGATGTCATTGTAGCTGCCCGTGCCTACCGGTGAGCGTGGCAGGTATTCAGATCTGGTGGAGGCATTTGTCGCCGTCGCCGTTACCGGCTCACGCCTCTCTGCCTTTCTAGGCTCCGGGACAGTAGCAGGTACCGTAGCGACGGCGGCAGCGGCAGTGGCGGTAGCGGCAGTAGCAGCAGCAGCAGCTGTAGTAGTAGTAATAGGAAGAGGTGCATTGTAGGCAGCCTGCTTCCGGACCTCGGCGTCGACACGTGCCCGGAGCTCCTGGTCGAACTGCTTGCGGAGCTTCTCGAACTCAGCCTGGACGAGACGGTCAATCTCAAGCTGGGCCCTGACCTCCCACTCGCGGCGAACCGACGCCTCCATGTCCTCGCGCGCCGCCACCCTCTCACGCTCGAGCCTGGCCAGCTTCTCGTTGAGCTCCTTCTCCTTGTTCTTGACGCCCGTCTCCCTGGCGCGCAACGATTTGTTGAGGTCAGCCACCTCCTTCTCCTTGCGCATCAGCTTGACGACCGGGAGGTTGAGCAGCGAGGCCGTATCGGGCCGCCGGTCTGGGTTGACGCGGAGGCAGTCCTTGATGACGTTGTTGAGCTCGGCCGAGTACATCTCGGGCAGGGGGGCGACGCGGCCCTCCTTGATCTTCTGCACCAGTTGAAAGTGCGTCTTGGCGTTGAAGGGCGGCTCCCGCGAGCAGAGCTCGTATATTATGCACCCCATGGACCAGATGTCCGACTTGAGCGTGTACTTCTCGGCGGCGCAGATCTCGGGCGACATGTAGAAGGGGGTGCCGACGTAGGTGGAGGCGAAGTCTTGCGATTTGATCATCTTGGACAGGCCAAAGTCGCCCAGCTTGACCGAGTTATCCTCGTCGAGGAAGACTGCGTGTGTTCGCATAGATTGGTCAGCTTGCCATGCCTCTTTTCGAAATAAGGTTCCCCTTTATCGAGCCAGCAGCAGCACTCACCATTCTCTGGCTTCAGATCTCGGTGGAGGATAGTCATGGTCCCCGCGGGCACCTTGGGAGCGCCGTTTATGGTGCCCTTGGTCAGACCGAGGACGTTGGTGCCAACCTCGGGGGGGTCGACACCGTAGTGGCACCGGTACAGGGCGAGGGTGAGCTGGCTGAAGATGCTCCAGACGAAGCTCTCGGGGGCACGCTGCCCCTTGTGCTGCAGATCCTTGATGACGCGGCCCAGGTCGCCGTTGCCACAGTACTCCATGTACAGGTGTAGGTCCTGGCTCATCTTGAGGTGCTCTCGATGGTAGTAGGCGACGATGTTTGGGTGTCGGAGGTGGGAGAGGATCTGAAATTCGGCGTGGAGCTGCTCGCGCTCCTTCTGGGACATGCGGAGGTAGGAAATCTCCTTTCGACACATGATGAAGCCATCTGTTTTTCGGCGAACTTTACGGATGATGCCAAACGATCCATGACCTATGTGCGGGGGAGGTACGTGCCAAGAGTTAATTCACGGTCCACTCGACACACACACACACAAGGCAACGAGGGGGGAGGATATTGGCTCACCAATCTTCTCCAACGTTTCGTACTTGTCTTCTGTGGTCATT